GCTACTAAGACACTTAGCTGTGCAGTTGCCCAATCAGTTATGGATATCTTAAAAATTTGGTTAATAATTTGTACAAATAATAATGAGGAACGACATGAAAACCAACCAGAAGAGAATCCGAATCACAGCGACAACACTAAAGCCGCAACCCGAGCTGGACTGTTCCCAAAAAAAATGCGACTAAAAATAAAAATATCGGAATAATGATTAAAATTTGTTTGCAACAGCGGAGGCTGTCGATATGTTGCAAGATGAGAGTTGCAAGTTGCAAGAAGTTATTGTGTAATGATGCGCACAAGCGGATAACATTTTTATTAATTAGTCAAAATGTCGAATGTGTCGTGTACAGCATACAAGGCAAGCCAGCCACGAAGGGAGAAATCAGATTCTCGGCTGCAATTTGAGGCACTGGAGCTTAGCTTTCATCCCAGCAGCTGCTGTCGTAGTATCTGCGGCTTAAACGGGGCTTGAACGGCTTTAAGCTTGCAACGATTTTGTTGATTGCAAATTATACGAAAGCAAAAGAAGAAAAAATTGAAGAACAAAGTTTTGGTGCCAAAGAACGAAACGATGTGACAAGTGATCGTGCAATCGAAGGGTGTTAATTACGTAGCTACTTCTGCCAAACGAGCAAAGGGGAAACTAATTATCGCTCAGATAAGACCAGGCAACACAATCCTTTATTTTATTATAATTTTTTTTTATTTTTTATGTACTTTTTTTTTAATGCACTGAAATCTTTGGACTGACCGATATGAGCCACAAACGAGTTCTAACTTCTCTTAATGAACTGTTTTGCTGATCTTGTTTGGCGTTTGGTAACTGATGCGTCAAATATCTTGGCTTTGACCAACATTCTGTGTTGTTTTGTTGTTTTGTTGTTTTGGTGCAGATGATTTAATTGGTAGTATGTTGTTGCAGTTGTTGTACTTATTATTGCAGAGATCATATACGTTGATAAAAATTGCGACCAGCAAGAAAACATTTCAATCAATTTTATTTAAACGAACACTTTAAACTTTGCTGTTGCTCACTCCTGATGTTGCTGCAACAATTGCTGTTGTTTGAAAGTATAAAATTTTATTTTAATTTTTTTTTTGTTTTTGCCTTGGTGTAGATTAACATGTTGATGTCGATGTTGTGAGTCGTACGCGTAAAACTGTTGACAGAAATTGTCTGGAAAATGATTTATTATCGATCATGATAAGCACACATAAAATAAATCCTACAACTACACAATCTCCTTACAACTGATGTACCGTACCGTCCGTTGTGCGGTGCTGTTTCTCAGCTTATTAAGGTACAACACATCGCGGACGATATCAACCTAAGAACATCGCTAACAAAATTGTTGCTTGTTAATTATCAATCAATCGCTAATTACCGATAGTAACGCGATTGTCATCGAACCACTAAAGATACAGATACTTCGTCCTATCGTAAAAAATAAAACAACAACAAAATATTGTATGTAATTTCGGTTGTTTTCCAACAAAGACAACTGCAAAATCCGTACAAGCTTGAATTGGTGTGCGGTGCAAAAGCGGCGGTGTGTAAGCTAAGCTTTAAGTATAGAATAAAAGCAGAAAATATATGAAAAATTAAGCTTATGTATATAAACCGATGTGTAAATAAAAAATGGCTGACTGTGTAAATCCTGCTGGTCCGAACATCGACAGCGACAAATAAGACCTACCCAAAGCGTACAAGAAGTAACTGCCTGTTTTAATGGCTGTAATTCATTAGTTGAGAAACTTTTAAAACACAAATAATAAAAATAATAAAACTGAAAAAAAAAATCATTCTCTTCCATTTTTGTATTTGTTTTTTCTGGATTTGAATAGCAAACAAGAAAACCTTTTAGTACCCTACCTTGTTACTTCGTCGGCTCTTAAGCTTGACTTAAGGATAAAAGTCTTGCACTCTGCCATTGTCACAGAGCAATGTAGTTCAAAGTAATTAGCGCATTTTGTACTGTCAGCTTTAATTAAACTGAATAGTAACTTGGAATCGGATTCTTACAATACATCCCGAAATACAAAACAATTAAAGCCACTATTTGAAATGAACGATCGTTATTAATGAATTATATTTATGTGGGGTTAAGCATATATTATATATGTATATGTTGGAGTTAGATATATTCGTTGGAATGAGAAGAGATTTTTAAAGTTTTAGCTTCACTCACTGACTTAAAGCATGTTTCCATTGCCTTCATTAAAGTAGTTCATTTTTATGGGTTTAACTATGTCAATATCGCGGTATAACCCATACACCTCATCATCAATTAAGGCCTTCTTATAACTTTGGTAATTGTCGATAACTATGTCAATATCGTGGTATAACCCATACACCTCATCATCAATTAACGCCTTCTTATAACTTTGGTAATTGTCGACGCTTCTGCACCATACAGCAGAACAGACTAATGACCCATAATGGATTACTAATGACCCGTTGATTAGCCGTAAAATGAGCTTTCGTGCTTTCCAAATTAGTTAAGAATGAATTAAGAGAAATTATATCAAAAATGTCGAATGTGGCATTGCGAAATATTTTTTCGAAAAGGGAATGACCTTTGACAGGCATAAACCAACTTATGCGAATGGAAACGACGAAATCTTAAATTGATTAATATAAGCTAATTTAGTTGCAGTGGGAACATGGCATAAAGCTTTCGATGTTTTTACTCCTCGTTAAATAAAAAAAAATATATATATATATATATGATATACATATGTCACCACTGCTCACCCAACTACATTACTCAATTGGTAAGAAAAGCGAACCTTTAAGTAGTATTTATCAAAATAACATTTAGTGGACAAATTACAGAGGATTTAGTGTTCTTTCCTTTACGATTTACTTTATTACATGAATATCGAAAGTTGCGGAAGGAATGTTCGAGGTAAAAACCGCAACAACGTGCTTAAGATTACGAGATTTTTGGTGCTGCTTCAGCACAATAAAGCGATCATTTTCGAGCTTTCTGTGATGGAAAATGGGTACTTCATCACACTCAAAAGCTAAATCGCCACTTATCTGAAAGGATAGCAATCGCTTCAAGCATTCATTAGTTGATTAGATTTTTGTCTTCACATTATGGAATTGCAGGATATTCTTGTAGCAGATCTATTATAAGATAGATCTATTATGATAAGAGTACTTAATTTCTTATTCCTTGTCATATAAACATTTTTATATAACATTAATTACTGTTCATTGTTAAAATTTGTTAAAATAATGTATTTAGACCAAAACAAGCAGGTGTGTTATTTTTTAATCCTACATTTTTCACAATTAGGACAAGGATGAGTGTTGTTCACAATGTTCACTGGAATATTACAAAAATTAATTAACTCAAGTTAATCAATTTAATAAATTAATCATTTCAAACTATGATGTCCTATGTGTACACCACAGAAAACACTGTTGATTGTTTCAAAAAGATAACAAATACATTTAGCCCTTCCCACGTTCATGAACACACTTTTACAATGTTATCCTTGTCAATTTAATAAAGCTGTTAAGAGATGAGTGCAACACAAACAAAAGGACTCCGTTTTAACGCCATTAACTTTAACGCAAACTTTGATCTTTTAACTAATGAATCCTCTTTCAATTCTCTTCCTATATTTTCCATCTCATTATTCTATCTTAAGAAAATATTGTCTAAAAGCATATTTCCCCCTTTTTGTATTACCTGTGCTGATCATGTCGTGCTCGGCCATTAGGAATATCACCTTTAACAAAGGTTCATTTGGTGCATTTGTGGCCAGTTTGACACTCAATAAATTCACTTTAACGCTGTTGGAAATTTATTTGGCTTGCTCCAGTATTTGACTTTTTACGATTAGCCAAGCGGCACAATCCTGGATTTGGTAACACTTTTTGATATATTGTTCCCATAGTCGACTATGAACGGGCAGGTGTAGTAATACTTCAACGAATTTTAATATTCCTTATCTATCGATGTGAGTAAAAGGACATCAATAGCAGCTGAAAACTGTGTTTGGTTATTTCACAAACTCTGAATCAGTGAGGAAATATTAAGAATAATAGCTAAGAACTCAAAATTCATTTAGTATTAATTATTATTCACTTGAATGTAAATTTAATGTTATTAAATTAATATTAATATAAGTACTGTGGAGATAACTTTCTGAACCTCATTAGATAGCTTGAACTAGATCTAAAACCTACTAACTTAAGTTGTTGATCGATCAAGTCTTTTGGATTATTATGCGGTTAAGTAGCTATAAAGTCAGTTCTTAACCATTAACTCTAAGTCAAGTCTTGTTTATCAAATAAAAGTTTTAGAAACAAACTATTTTAAATTTAAAAACACATAAACTAGTGAAGAAAAGCTGGAATTGTGCAAAGAATTATACTTGAACTTTCCCTTTCTTCGACTATCATATCCAAATCTGAATCAATCTAAAATAAATTTCTTACGATTGTAAGATGCTCTTAATTCGTCCTTATCACTTTAACATATATACCGAAAATTTTGCTACTAAGAAAATCAAATCCAATCATATTTAGATGGATTTAGTTAATACTATTCAAACTGACTTATTTAAAAAGAATTTCTGTGACAACTTCCAATTGCTCGACATACAAGGATTATTTCTACTAAATAACTTGCTTTCCTAACAAGAAACAAATAAAGTAGTAATGAACCTAAAATAGGTAATATCAGTAGATCAGAGTTTTAAAAAATATGTTTAAACAGATTTCTTCTTTGTCACTCTCTCGATTTTCTTATCTTCCTCCTAAGTAAAAACAGTACTCAAAAAAAAAAATTCTTCAAACCATCCATCCTAAAAAAAAATATAAATATACTTCACTTCTTTCTAAATGTTTAAGTTGAGACCCCCAGTCTCAATGACTTATTTAATTTGATTAATAACTATTTCTTCTCGTAGTTAAAACCGGTATAATTGCTCTATTCTCCTATAGCAATTTGATTTCTAGTAATTTTGGTATATAGCAATTAATAAAAATTAATAAAAACTCATTTTTTATTTTCAAAAAAATATTGATATTATTCAGCTTCGTTAATTTATATCCCTAGGATCCGAATAATGAATTTTGTCAATCGTTCTAAGATTACTAATATAATTCCGTAACATATTACATAGGTAAGACAAAATAGGTCAATAGTAACGTATTTCGGAATTATATTAAAAGCTCTTTGATTCATTTTAGTATTACAGGCTTTCGTACAGCTATCGCTTCAATTTTCCTCTTCAATATTTGATTATCCAAATCAATTTGACGTTGCTGTTTTCTTCGATTAATGGAAGCTGTGGACGCAAATCTGACCGAAGCTTTAGAACTCTAAATATTTTAAGGATATAGAATTACATATTATTTAAAAGACAAACAAATCTTTATTATTAAAAATCAAATATATAATGTTTTATATTGAATTTTTTTATGATTGTCTAAATTGCACAAAGCTAGACTCTGAGGGACCTCAATCAGGGACCTTAAGATTGATTAGATCAAAAATACATAAAGGATAGAGCCCTGAAATTATTTGCGAAAACTGAGAGATTTAGCAACACCGCGTTACCGAATCTCAGAATCGTTACAGGCTCCTCGGGGAGGTATGCAGATCTAAGGTAAAAAAACATTCATTTTTTTCAAATATTCCATTAATATTTTTAATGATTTTAAGGTTAGACCCAAATTTCCGTCACTCCTTACATATTTTAAATTATGCTATCACTATTTCTCTCTATCACTTCTTACACATCGTTTTTAATATTTTATTTTCTTTTTCTATCGGTCCTTCTCTCTAGCTCTTTCTATATATCTATCTCTCTAACGATTTTTAAGTGTATTAATATTTTCAGAGCATTACTTACCTGACCACTCGTGGTAAACGTTGGCTTTTGACTGACAATTTTTTGCAGCAAAATCTTATTCGTCCTCTCAATTTCACGCAGTTCTTTATTCGAAAAACTGGCATTCTTACGCGGATGTCTGATGTTCCTTTTAAGCAGTAAGATCATGGTATTATTCGTCATCAAAATATGTTTATGTTTTGTTTACTTACCTCATTTTTGGTACGGGCATTTTTGCATTATTGAAATTTTTTAAATGGGGAACATCTGGTGCAAGTTCACGTAGTGGAAGCGTGTGTGAAATCCGATAGGGCAATTCATTTTCGTAGTCTCTAATCGATTCCATAGGATTCTGTATGTAATTCTCTTCATCTGTATCCATTGATGTAACGGAATCATCTGTTGTGCTAACCTCACTGGATTCAGAACTTTCCGGTTCGGCAAAAGTAACCCGACGTGGTGTTTTTACCTGTGCTGCAGCATTTCTTAACCTGTAGTCTTCCATTTTTTTCAGTTTTTCATTCATTATCTCCTGTTGTCGATGATTAATCAAAACCAATTTAAAGTTCATTAACTTTTCACGTAGGTCCTTGTCAATATCGGAAACACTATCTGATGATTTAACAGCTTCGTTGGAGGCAGACTGTCTTATAACCTTCGTCGGCTCATCATTTTTCACATTTTGCTCTGGTGGCTTTGGTGTATTTTTCGGTACATTCTTTTGTATATTCTTTTGGGTATTCATTTGAACTTTATTATTATTATTAATGCTTATGGAAGTTCTTATATTCGCAGTCTTAGAGTTCACTCCTTTAATATCAATATAACAATGACCATTTGGATTGTGTATTGCACAACGGCACGTACATTGCTTGTCCAGAATCAAAGAACTGCCAGGTGATCTTGTTGTTTTTTTATCAAAATTATTTTCCGACATAGTGTCTGTAGCACTCTTAAGGACGATTTGTGAAGCAGTATAAACTGTTTGATCATCCTCACTTGTTAGCGACGAGATCGCCTCTTCGAATTTCATTTCAGCCGCATCAGTTACGTCTTTTATTGATACGGCTTTATCATTGTCAACATAGTCGTCAGAAGACGACGACGACGACGACGACGAGGTCATCGAGTAATCACGATGATTAAAATTTTTAAATCTATGTGCGTTTAGCATGCGATTGCGAGTATAATTGTAAAGAGCCTTCAGATGATATTAAGTCATAGTTAATTTTTAATTTGGATAATTTTTTACATTTTAAATATATCATAATTATTATTTACGTACCTCATTTCTCCTTGCAGTTATTTCACTAAAAATGCTCTCCATTTCAGTTCCGGAAGATTCTTGAGTTTCCGAAGTAGACGTCTTACACTTCTCATCGTCTGATTTGATCGTTTTCGTCATTTTTAGCCAATTTGCAAAAACTAGGATAAAATCAGATTATAAAAGGTAAAAAAAGCATGTAAAACTATAAAAAAGATAAAATATGTTAAACGCAAAAAAAAAGTGATTTTTATTTTGTTAAATAAAAATTTTATTGAAATTAAAAATCATGCTTACTAAATTTTAATACAAGTATTTTTAGACATTAGAGGTCTTTCAGAAGACTCATCTGGATTCCGATATTAGACTGAAATATATTTAGTGCATGAAACTTATTAAAGGAATAATTATTCATACCAATATATATATATATATATTTTTTATATAATTTACTATAAATTAAATATATATTTTCTATATACTTCAATTAAGTTTTTAAGTAGTTTAAAGAACAGTCCTTACACACCGCAGAAAGTTAATAAAAAAAATGTTTTTATTAGCTAAAAAGTCTATAAAAGCCTTGTTGTTTAAAAGTATTGGATTATTCTATAATATGTACTAATTATTTATTAAAATAAATAAATTTTATTTTTAAAGAAATATTGAACATGATAAACCAAATGTGTAAGTAACGAGTTTTTGGCTATCAATTAAACTGACGAAGATAAAGGTATTTTTAAAAAGTAGAAAGTAAAAATCTATATTATTAATTCCACATACAACATGGACATGGAGTGCTCAGCGAACTCACTCATTAACCATAAATATCTTTAAGATAAATGATTTAAACCTGACAAATCTTTCAGTGAGTTTAGATCAAAAACAAGTAGCAGAAACAACAGGACATCCTACATAGAAACCTTCAACTACTGATAGTAGTGTGGATTAAATAGCAATGTTTATTCAACTTATAATATTAACTGAATGTCTTGCATATTATTATTATTTTTATTCAGTAGGTGACAAGCAGCGAAAACCACCTTATAAGACTTTAACCAATTAAAACTACTTTTCAGAAATGACTTGTCAAAATACAAATACACAGTTCTCAGCAGTGAAAGTCCGTTATACTGTGACTTCCAAGTTTATTTAAATTCCAGAAATTTTTCCAATATTTAAGGTTTACTTAACGTTCCTGCCAGTATTTTACACTAAGTACAGTACTCATCCCCTTTAAAAAACATAAAAAAAAACCAACAAAACCATAAAATTACAGTCTTTGACAAAAATTTGAAATATAATATTTTAAAGAAATAATTATTCCCTTCACTCCTATAAGTATACTGCTTTCTGGTGTTTCCCAAACAAATATGCTTTGAATTTTTTTATAAGCGTTCAACGTTAACACCGTAATTAAAAGACCGTATTTTTTAACTCTACGGTCTATGGCATTAATGCGCCAACATTAATAATAACCAACAGAGGTAGATTATTTCTAAAGTATTGATTAACAGTGATTGTTATAAATGATAATAAATAAGCATTAAATTACAATATCACCCTACATACTTCCTTGAATAAACGGTATATTAAGTTCACCAGACATCAAGCGCCTTATTCCTGGTGTAAGTCTTGGGGCCGAGTTAACAGTTCAAACTTAAGTCTTAAAACTGACCTAAGTATGAATTAAGTTAGCAAAGTTGATGTTAAGCCAGACTTAAGATAGTCTTTAAGCACTGATTCATAAGTACAGACTTTGATTCGCCTTAAGCGGAGTAAGAAAATTGATTGCAAAGGCAAAAGAAAAAAAATACAAATTTAAAAATTATTTAAATATTATTTATTAGAATTTGTATATTATGTTATACATGCTCAACTATATAAAAATGGTTTACTTAAGTAATTAAAAATAATTAATATATAAAATCAGCCAATAACGGAATGACTTCATATTTTTAAACAGCCACTGATATTATTGATGAGTTCGAATCAAAATAAAATAAAAAATGTGACGCGTCTAACTCTAATGGAAGATGAAGTCCAAAGTATCTTCATTTGCTTGCACTGGCGCATTTGCATGAAGCTCCACAACCACAATTGCTCTGCTTTTCAGAGGCGCATTTACAACCTGAAAATGAGAAAAAATCAAAAACGTAATTAAAAATTTTAACGAAAATTTATATAAAAATAAAACTGATAAAAATACATATATAAATAGTAGCATAATTACGTAATTCTTGATAACACCGATAGACCCATCAACAATATTTTACAGATAACTTCAGTTCTTATCAGTTCAACTTACCGGTTCCACATGGGCAAGGCATATTGATGACGTTTTTTGCTTATTGTTTATTGTTTATTGAAATCTACTGGAAAAGCTTTCTCAGCTAAAGTTCTCTACTAATTTTGATAGTCGCGTTGAACTTTTGGGTTCTCACTGATCTATAATAAAAAATGTTTACAGTTTTATAAGCACAAAATTATGGAGACTTGATTTTAGAGATAAAAACTTTTGCACACGGCCCTCGTTTAATTAATTTAGGGTATATTTGTGTGCAGAGTGCAAAACGGGTGGTGTGCAACATAGGATGATAGTAATTCTAATCTATATATGTATGTACATATCTATGTATATTCCTATTAATATTAATTAATCTATTAGTGGAAAAATACCTATGACAGAATAATTAAATGGATTTTAATTATTATTGATAAATTATAATTTAATTTCTTCTGCATTTGGTATACCTTTTTATATGCATATTACATTAGTAAAAATAATATGATTTTATTGAAGACTAGCTCGAATCAGTTATGAAATATAATTACCAATAATGTAAATTTACTATATCCTGAAATATATTTTAGAGGTTTTAGAGACTTACTCTCCAAGTAGACTATCTCTCCAATACTGTATATGTGAAGTTATTTAATAAAATGTATTCTAATTTAATGTCTTTTATGGATAAATGATGAAATCTAATTGAATAATAACTTTTTTTAAATATTATTTTAATCATTTTTGCATTTCAATAGCATTTGAGTACATTGGTTAGGCAAATTGTTAAGTTAAAATGTTTTATTGATGTTTAAAAAGATCCAAAATACATATTTTTACAACTTTTAATATAACTTCCTTTGAATTATTTTTAAAATAAATTACAAACACAACTACAAGTATGATTTTTTATAATGTCATCAAAAATTAAGGTATCAAACCTTATCAGTGTAAATATAAACAATAAACCTCACAACAACAGAAAAGTAAACAATTTTGCACTCGACCCACGAAACTAACAATGCACCGAGTGCAAAAGGTTTGAAAACTCCAATTCAAACGTTTGTAGGTCTATAAAATAACTGACATATCTCCGAAACACATCAGTGCATATCAAGAAGTGCAATTCAAAGAAACTCCAAGAAGTTCTAAGAACATTTAAAGAAATATCAAAAACAATGCCTTGCCCATGTGGATCTGGTAAGAGATTTCCAATGAAATTATAATAAAATAAAATATGCATAAAATATTATATTATATTTTTTTATATTATATTTAAAATTAATTTAATTTTCTTCTTCTTAGGTTGTAAATGCGCTACTGAGAAGCAAACCAACTGCGGTTGCGGTGACTCGTGCAAGTGCGCCACCAAGAAGTGAACAATATAATTCGAATTCATATTTAAGATGATTTTTTATATAAATAAATAATTGAAATTATTTCCTTTAATAATAAACAAATAAAGAGATTAAAATTAATTAATATGCATTATATCTTATACGTTATAATATTCTGCGTTTGATAAAACTCAATTTTTATTGAATCCAATCATTCGAATAGAATCCGACAATCCCATTTAGGTTTTGCAATAAGGGATGGAATATTAAAGAATAATGTTTTGATGCTTGAAATTATATTTAGACAATACTTAACTCTGACAAAACAGATGTTCACGTGTCTCTTTCTCAGATGGAAGCGAGCGTAATGCACTTAAATTGCAATTGGGGAAGTTCAGTAAAGCTCTATATCGTTCTTTATTTCAGTATCTCGGGCGAATGTCAAATTATGTTAGAGACTATTATATATTATTAATTGCTCTATTGTTTTATACATATAATTTGCTATTTAAAGAAATTTGTACATTGCCTTGTTAATTGTGTTAATGAGGAGAGGATAGACTCTTCTCCTTATGAAGAAAATGTATGGCAAATGGTAGTATATAATATCAATAAGTAGTATATTCTAATAATAGATCTATTAAAAACACATTTTTTGTACAAGATTAGACAATCGAAAAGACTCGAAGGATAGTTCATCAATTCTAGAAGAGTTTAGTGTGAAACCCATTTATTTAAAATATTTTATTTTTCTTAAAAGTATTTATTTTTTTAATATTATTTTATTTTACAGCTAAAAGTATAAATTCTAAACAAATTAAGTCTCGCTGTCATCATATTTCAGTAATTAAATTTTTATTGATTTTCTTGATGGACTTCAGTTCAAAATGATGAAATGTTATGACGAAGCTAAACTACGGTATTAGAGATATGTCGTAGTACCGCTCTATTTGTTAGCATTGGAACATTTGCAGGAAGCACCGCAACCACAATTGCTCTGCTTTTCAGAGGCGCATTTACAACCTAAAAATTTATAAAAAAATGAAATGTAAATAAAAATTTTAAAAGAAATGTAAATAAAAAAAAATTAGATACGAAAAATATATAAACAAATAGCATAACAACGTGTTTCTTGATAAGACCAATAGACTAAACAGTTCTTTACATATAACTTCGGTTCTTATCAGTTTAACTTACCGGTTCCACATGGACAAGGCATCTTGGTGACGTTTTTTGTTTATTATTTATTATTTTCTTCTGGAAACGCTTTCTCAGCTAATGTTCTGTACTAATTTTGATAGTAGCGTTGAACTTTTGGGTTCTCACTGATCTGTTTTGAAACATTTTTAGTTTTATAAGCACAAAATTACGCACAATCCTCATCGATGGCTGCCACAGTTTTCGTTTGGTGGGTGGTGCGCACAAAGCGAGCGGTGTGTAATCTTCTTATGTTATTCGCTGATAATGAAGATGATTAACCAAAATCTATAAAAGTGTAATTCAATTTGTGAAGTACCAGTATTGCTCATTGTAAATATTTTTATTAATATCAAAACTCATATCTGAATAGCAGTGGCGTAACAAGATTGTGTTAGAGGG